ACTTTTTGACAACCATGAGGCCATCTAATTCATTCTTCAACTGCCACACTTCCTCTATGAACAGTGGAAACAAACAATCCCTGTTTGAAAAGAAAGGTATATCCTGTTCAGGAAGGGGTTGTGCCAGAGGATGTGACTAAGGAGAAATGGGGCACTGTGAGCCCTGCTCAGATGATCCTGTTCAGAGATACCATGCTACTGGAGATCCACAGGGACTAAGTCCCTTGGGAGAAGACTGAATTCCCTGTAAATGGGTTCATCCTTTGAAATGACTTGAGGGCCACTTCCCTACGTTAAGAACCATGAAATGTGTATCCAAGCCAGACAGACTGTGCCACACACTATGTTTCTGCTATTTCTCAGTGAAAGCTTTATTTTTCAAAGTTTATGGATATAATTTTTATATGACAAAGTATAGTGTGTATGTGTGTAGCATTGGGGATTGAACCCAGGGCTTTGCACTTTGCTAGACAAGTACTCTACCACCCAGCTTCATCCCCATCACTGATCCCCACCCCACCCCTGCCACCCCTGACTTTTTGGTAGTACTGGCGATTGAACCTAGGTATGCTCTACCACAGAGCTACATCTCCAACCTTTTAAATTGTATTTTGAGACAGAGGCTGCCCTCAAACTTAAAATCCTCCTGCCTCAGCTCCCAAATAGCTGGAATTACAGGCATGTGCCACCATTTCCAACTACTTTTTATTTTTTCCAGTGAAAGGTTTTTATCTGGGCCAATGACCAAAGATTACAGTCATAAAAGGCACAGTGATATCCACTGGCCTCAGAATTATAGGGCACTGTTGATATCCAATATAAGGTGTTCTTAATCTGCAGCTCAGAAAACTTTAGTGACTCTCTGCTATTATCAGATTATTTACAAATTGTTATTCAGTTATTTAAGGTTGCCTATTATATGATCTTTGTTTTTCCAACCAGTTTTCTTTGTTCCTTTTTAAATAAAGAGATGGGGTTTCACTCTGTTACACAGGCGGGCTTTTAATCCTCCTGTCTCAACCTCCCAAGTATTTGGGACTATAGGCATGTGCCACAACACCTGGCCAGTAAACCTATTATAAGTGTACAGTTGGTGAATTTTGAAACATATGCACTCATGTGCTATCATCACTACAATCAAGATATGGAACATTTCCACTACCCCACATTTCCTTTCTATCTCTTCCCAGTCACAATCCACCTACTACCCCTGATCCCAGGCAGCCACCGATCTAGATCTACTTTCTATAATTTTATATTAGATTTGAATTGTCACAGATGTTCAAATGCAACCATATACTATGCAGCCATTTAGATCTGGCTTCTTTCACCTAGTGTAGTAATGCTTTTGAGATTCATCCATGTTGTCATGTCACCAGACAGGTATTTTAGAGGAGAGGGCAAAGGGACCTCAACTCAGCCTCTGTGGATCTTGATTTATATTGCTGAAAAGAATTCCAGGATGTGTCAAAAGCAAGGCACAAGCAACGATTTACTGAGGACCTCAAGGGTATACATACCCCAAAGCCAGGGTGTGGGTGCCCCCTTGTCTCCCAGAGAAGACAAGTGACACACTCAGGGTTGAGCTCTGTGACTGTGTGTATGATTTTCCTAGGAAGAAATGTTCAAGTTCTCAAGCAATCTACTTTGAAAAACCCCATGTCAGTCAGCTAATATTTGGAGTTCAGAATGTTTCTTTTCAGTTAACCTATAAATCTGTGGTAGGCATATTGTGTTAAGTCTTTGAATCTGGTGCATTTAAATGATGTTTTTGTTTTAGTTGACCTGGTACAGGCATATGCTGAAGGTTTTGTTCATCTAACTAAAGAGACAAGCATGACTGGTCATGCTTGAAAACAAAAATAAACGAGAACAGACCAGTGATGTATTATTAAGCACTGGAGGGGCACATTTTCAGGAGGAAAATGGCAACTGGGTACAAGAGGGGCCTGAGTTTTATAGGGTTCATTTAGACTTGAATCATAGCAGAATATGTCAGTTGGACAGTCTGAGGGAACAGTTGTGAAAGTTCAAAGCCCATTGTTGCTGGGAAATGGTAGAAGTCCAGAGCCAATGGTTTTCCTTCTCTCCCTGGGACCCATTGTCCTCCTTTTTCTCCCTGGGGGTTAGTGCTCCCCTTCTTCTTCTGGGGGTTGTTGTTTTCCTTATCCTTCAAAGCTCATGGATCCAGGTCTCCTTCTACCAAGGGTCTTTTTTTCTCTTTTCCACGAGAGTGAACCTATCTCAGTAACATGTTTCAAAAGTTTGTTTCTTTTTATTGCCCAGTAGTTGTCTTGGTGTATGGATGTACCACAATTTGTGTATCCATTCATGAGTTGATGGGCATTTGAGTTGTTTCTAGTTTGGGGCCATTATGAATGAAGTTGCTTTGAAGATGGGTGTATAAACAAACTTCTAAAAACCTAGAAAATTTAACTGAACAATCTGGCAAGTTTTGATAAACAGGCTGCCCCTGGGGTGGCCAAGGGTTAGTCCAATAGTTATAGATGAGTTGAAGAGTAAGCAACTAGTTTTGTGAAGGAACAACAGCCAAAAATGGGAGGAAATGCCAATTCTAATGCTGATCAGGCATCTTCACAGCATGGGAAAAATTAATTTCGACATCATTGGCAGGATGGAGTAACACACTTAGCTGTTTTATTTTGACAGGGACTGGAATTCAACCAATAGACTCAAACCTATTTTCTCCAGCTACTTCTTCGGGATGTTTGATGGCCAGTCCAGCAGTAAAACAAAGAACTCTATATTCAGAGTCAGAAAGACTTTACTGGCCATGGCGCCTTGGACAGGGATAAGTAACCTTGGCAGATGGGCATAAAAAAGACTCCCTACCTTAAGGGCTGATGGGAGGATAAAATAAAAATCTATGGGACTTAGGTTTTGAATCCCAACTTTATTGCTCCTACAAACACACTGTATTACAGTCTCTTAGTCTTCCTAGTTTCCTTCCCTCGTCCCACTGTGAGGTAACAGCATTACCTCACTAGGCTGTAGGTAGCACAACTACACGATGTTACACTGCCAGGATTGTCTTAGAAGATGCTTGTTGACCCTGTTCATTGCATGCTCAGTTTTTTTTTTTTTTTAAATTTCCCTCCATATTCAAACTCCACTGGCTGCTTGTAACTCAAATGAAATGGAATTGCTTTAGGGTGATTTAGAAATCTCCCTGTAGTCAATGTTGTTCACCTTCCTGAAAAGGTGGAGATCTTTTCCGTCTCACCAGCTATCATCTGGGTTTTGAGTGTATGAGTTAATTCTTAAGTGATTGTGACCACACCTGAGAGCTCGGTGTCACTAGGGGCGTTTATCCGGCACAGGTTGCCCTCCTATGGAGCCAAGGTCGGGCTCGTCAGTCCCTTTCCCAGCCGGCCTCCTCCTCTCCTTGGCCGCCCTTTGGCTCCACCATCCTCCGCCTTTCCAGCGCCGGCAAATCCAGGCGAGCGCCTCGCCCACTGGCGAATTTGTTTATTTGTTCTGAGGTTTCTCCAGGCTTCCGGCAGAGGCGCTTGGTACCGGCCGTTTTGCTCCAGGAAATGTTAGAAGCGCAGATTTTTCTGCTTCTTGGGACCCAGGCGCACAGTTAGGCGGTTCGGACCTCTCCCTTGGCGGGCGGGTCCCAGGGACTCAGCCAGTGCGCACCTGGGGCATCGCAGGGTGTGAGAGGCGGGTCCCAGCGCGCCGGCTGAGTGGGCAGAGCCCAGCGCGCGCAGCTCTGTGCCCTTGGCAAGGGGACAGGTGTATGGAGAAGGTTTCGCGCCCTTTTGGTACAAAGTCCCTCCTATTTACTATCCGCGGTGGAAAGGGGGAGGGAGAAACCTTCCACTGAGCCCGGAAGAGGCGGGACCGGCGGTGGGGTAAACGCTGCGGGAGTTTGAATGCTCGCGCGCATCTCCCATTGGAGGGTAGCGCCCGCCTCTCCCCGCCGCTGATTTGCTAAGGGCGGGGCCAGGTGCTTGATTTCAAGTTTGCTTAACGTTTTCATTTTGCAAGTCTGTGGAACCCAGTTTTTTTTTTTTAAACCTTCTGGAGAAGGGCTATGAATTTTTTTTAACCCTTCCTCCCTCCAATAAAAAAAGAACGGTGTTCTGGAAAAACTTCCTAAGATACTTTAGTGTGTACTGCTGCTGCATACACTAAACAGTATGGCTGTTTTGAAAATGCATCTTTATTGAGGAAGGAGGTAAAAAAAACAAGCTAGCGAAAACTGGGAGTTGTTTCATTTGCCTATATGATTATTTGGACCTTTCGAATTTTCCTTTTTTTTTTTTTTTTAAAAAAAAGCATGAATATAAAAAAAGGAGTGCTATCTAAGTAATGTAGTGCCGAAAAACTTATGGTGTTTTAAGAAAAATTCAAAAAGTAAAATGAGAATTTTGTTGGAAAAAAAACGTAACAAAGACACAACTTTCGCATTTTCAATTAGAAACTCTACTTCCATTTAGCTTGTAGTCGTTCTGTAATATGCTACTAAAGGGGAAAAAACAGATTCTTATATTTTCTCTTCCCTTCCATTTTATTTTCCAGTCCAGAGCACAACCACCAGAAGACAACAGAAAGAAGCCTGTTTTGGGGAAACTTGGCACTCTATTCACGTCAGGAAGGAAAAGGAGCACCAGAAATGGGTTAGAGAGCCCCACCAGCCCAAGTGTCAAATCAGTCTCTCCCAAAGATATAACTTCTAAACTCCCTGAAAGCGAGAGCGACAAGAGTAAGTCTCAGAGCAGCCAACTAAAGCAGACAGACAGGAGCGAGGAGGGATCCATTCAGGAGGCAGACAGCGAGAAATCCGAGAGTTGTGTCCAGGCAGTCCCCTCTGATGCCGAACCGTCACCTTGCTCAAACAGCAGTGCAGCGGCTGTGCAGCAGTGCCATGAAAGTGATTCACCCCAATTAGAACCTCTGCAGGTCGAGGGAGAGACTTTCCCAGATGCCACCACCGCTGCCAAGCAGTCGCATTCCACACCAGGGAATTCCTCTAGGCAAGAGCACGCAGAGACGCTCTCCCGCAGTCTGGGGGCGGACCCTTTGCCTGGCACTGGAGGTGAACAGGAGACAGCCTCAGGTGCGAGGGGTGTGCCGGAGTCGCCCACCCGGGAGCAATCCGCCAGAGGACTTGAGGAAGCCCCTAGCGTGGGTACGCAAGAAAGTTCCCTGCTGCGCCTAAACACGCGCATCCCGCCAGGTGAAGGCGCATCTGCTCCGCCAGGTGACTGTCCTGCCGAGTGCACAGAAAATAGGAGTAGCTCGGGGCAGGCCAGCGGCACAGCAGCGCGTGGCGATCGCGCCCACCCCGCCAAAGTGTTGACTTTGGATATCTATTTGAGTAAGACTGAGGTGTCGGAGGTGGAAGAACCTGTGGTGATTACTCCCGGGGCCGAAGATTGCGGCGATTCTGACGACATGGAGAGGAGATCGAGCGGTCGCAGATCGGGCAGGCGGAGGAAATCTCAGAAATCCACCGACTCTCCTGGCGCAGACGCCACTCTGCCCGAGAGCGCGGCGAGAGACGACGCGGTGTTCGACGACGAGGTGGCGCTACATGCGGCCACCGAGAATGTCTCTGCGGAAAAGAAAGTGAAATCTCCGCGGGCGGCCCTCGACGGGGGCGTTGCCTCCGCTGCCGGCTCCGAGTCCAAGCCCAGCCCTGGCCCCAAAGGGCAGCTTCGAGGGGAGTCCGACCGGAGCAAACAACCACTCCCGGCTTCGTCCCCCACCAAGAGGAAGGGCAGGAGCCGCGTTCCGGAGGCTGTGCCCAGCCAGCCTGCCAGCGGCCCGCGGTCTCCTGCCAAGGAGTCCCCACCCAAGAGGGCGCCGGCGTCCGACCCCAGCTCGGTAGCCAAGAGCACCGCGGCCGACTGCGGGGAGGAGGCGGCCCGGGTCATTCCTCGTGAGCTCACGGTCAAGAGCAGCTCCCTGCTGCCAGAGATCAAGCCCGAGCACAAGAGGGGTCCGTTCCCCAACCACTTCGATGGCCGAGCAGAGGGAGGCCGAAGCAAAGACCTGGGCAGATCGTCCGGAGCTTCGGATGCCGACGGCTTAAAGCCCAGGAACCATTTCGGTGTGGGCAGGTCGACGGTGACCACTAAAGTGACCCTGTAAGTAGCTGCGGAATTGGTCCTGAGTTGGGTGTCTGCAGACGTGCTGGGGGTGGGGCGCTCTGAGAAGTTCAGGGTCTTTGCATTTGTGGAAGAATTGTCTGTGTGCTGAATTTTCTCCTCTGTGTTGAACTTTTGAGAGTAAAGGACCCAGTCCTTAATGAATAACGTGAGTTAAGATTTAAGAAGATGGGGGAGAGATCTTAATAATTCTTATTAATATAAGTTCTAAGTTAAATTAATATAAAAATTAGGATATCCCTTGAGGCTCACTGTTTATGTGAATAATGCAGATAAGACTTAATGATGTGACACGAGCTAATTATAGCCTTTATTCAAAATGTTCACCAGCATACCTGTAAGACATTCTTGAAATATATATGGAGCAAACACTAATATATTCTGTAGCTCTGACTTGAGTCGTATCACTGCGGAACTTAGTGCATTGCCCCAAAGCTCTTAAAAACAACAACAAAACAATTTCCTATTACAAGGATCTTGTTTGCCTCTTTCTCTGATGTTAGAGAGCCTGCGATTTTCGCTCCCAGGTTGAAAAATCAGTTTTCAGTTACTGAAGCAAAGAAAAAAGTGTTCTTACTGGAAAATAATTTACTAAGTGAGAAGGCACAAAACAACAGACTGTAACTATGAGTAGTTAGTTAATTGATTTAACAAATATTTATTGAGTACCTTCTGTGCGGAGTATTGTTCTAGGTACTATGGGAGGAAAATAGTATAAATATGATTCAGCATGCCACCCTTGAAATGTTTATGGCCCCCTCTGGCACAAAAGAAGCACACAAATGAAACAACGTGAGGTGGTATCTGATAAAACTGCCAAGTGGATGTTGTTGCTGTGAAGGCTGGGGAGTGCAAGGGAGGACAAAATCACTGAGGGATTTTTGGAGGAACTGAGGCTGGTGCCTTGAGGGTATAGATGGGCAGGATCAGGATATGATGTAAAACTTCCCCCATTCCCATCCCGCACTCCAGTTAGCACAGGTGAAAAATGATTAGGGTGCTCTAGTTTTTCCTACATTCACACATTTGTTAAGTGAGCGGGTATTTTCACATTAGCATTCTTGAATGGTTTCATTCTGTTTGATTTCTTGGAGAAGTAAGCTTTGGAGTAGAAAGTCTGGTAAACACTTGAGGAAGATTTGCTTAATGAATAACATGAGCTACCTTACCAGCTGCCAACTTAGAGACCTTTGATATAGTCAGCTATTTATTCTGTAACAGTAGCGTTGGAGACATAAGCTGTGAATGATGCTCATTATTTGCAGAAGACCAGTGTGACCCAACACTGAAACTTCCTAAGTGTGAGTTTAGAGAAGTTGTTGTATACTAGATTAAGGAAGCTTCACTTGTCTTCCAATCAGGAGAGAGCTGTGAAAAAACCAGAAAAGTTATACTGTTTAGGAATAGGGTGAACAAACAGCAGGAAGTGGATCTTACAATGGAACTCTTCTTCCTTTGTTGCTTTCTATTGAACTAAACCAACTGTCTTTTTCTCGGAATTGATTAGCTTCTACCTAAAACTTCTCTTTGCCACTCGGTTTATTTAATTTTGTTCTGCACAGTGCCTCGCACTTAGTGAATTGATAAACTATTGAGATGGAAAATTAATAATTCTTTCTAGTCCTTTGACCCATTTCTGTTTGAGGGTCAAATTAAAGCGGTTCTCAGACCCTTTTAATTCTTCCTGTGGCTATACTGCAAGTAACGATGTTAATCAGGTTATATTTAAAAAACAATTTGAGACTGAAGAGTTAGAAAAACCATTGTATATTCCCTGAAAAATAATGACTATTCCCTGAAAAATAATGACAGTATAAAGAAGCTGAATGCTTCTTTATACTGTTAGAAAAATTACTTCTTCCAAGTTCTGTACCAAATACTGAATGTTGAAATTCTTAAAATGATAAGTTTAAAAGAAGGGAGAATTTTCCTCTTAGAATAACTTTGACTTTTTAGACTCCAGATTCTTTTCCCCTCTCACATTTTAATGAAGGCATTACAACATGAATTATGGGAGTCTTCCTTTTAATCAGTCTGAACTAGGTTAATTGCAGTGACTCTTGGTAGCAGAATTTAATAGCACAGAAAGTCTGGTTGTAAAAGGTATTTTGATCTGGTGTAAATCTTTAATGTGCAGATGTTTCCTATCCTTAGCTGTTGGCTAACCTGTGGTGTTTTCCATTTACATGCAAAGGTACACTTTGATGTTTGACTTGAGGACTGTTCCTTGAGCTGATTGGTGGGAATTTTAAAAATGTATATTCCCTGTTATGTGGCTCTCCCTCATTGATTGAGATAGCATTTGTAAACTTTTTGTAATCATCTCACTGGTTTTATAATTTAATCTTTAAAGAGATGCTTATATAAGTAAATTTTGCTTTCTAATTTAAGACATGGGCCTAAAATAAGAGAGCCGCAGTATTTTATGAAGTCAATGGGGAAAGCAATGCCTGGAAGAAAGTTATGAGTATATATAAAATTTAGTATTTAAATAAAAGTTTAAAAATCAAAATCCAAATTCTCTTTTGGGGAGGACTTGTTGGCAAATAGCCCAGACTTCTCATTTTATCCAGAAGGATAAGGTGTCTCCCCCAGAGTTATTCTGCCTGTTCCTTCTAGAAGCTCCACCTGCAAGGAATTTCTGTGCTTTTCCACTTTTGTGTTCTATGAGAATACACTATCTGATCAACTTATCTGATAGATCTCCTGATAACTCTTTGACTCCTTAAGTGATAAAGATGGAAAGAGGAGCAGTCATTCAGGCCAGTCTAGTCTGACCCTGAAAAGGAAGCAGCATGTATAGTGGATGGGAGTATGGTTTCTGAGAGCAGAAGACCTGCTTCCTGGCTCTGCCAATTACTAGCTGTGCAGCCTCAGGCAAGTTACTTACCTTCGATAAGCCCCTACTTCCTCACCTTAAAACAGAATATACAAAGCTGTACATTAAGTAAACCAAGCATTTCTCAAGTGCTTGGCAATCAGTGACTGTTAGTGGTTATTATTTCTCTCTCCCACTTTATAAACCACTATAGCAATTCAAAAAAAATCTTTGGAACCCTTTCTTCTAGAAAAGCCATATAGAAGCAATATATCAAACAGGTAAGCAGGAAGTGATTGGTTGAAAGGAGGTGGGCATCCCTGTTCTGCAGTCTCTACTAACCTCAGTCAAGGATTTAAAGAGGACTTAAGAATTCTTTCAACTGTATGTAAGGGAAAATAAAAACAAGTCTGTTTAAACCATCTAGGTGTTATTATTTTTTTCTTTAAAGATAGAGAAGGTAGAGTCCAGAGAGGTAAAGTAACTTGACCAAGTTCATACAGATAATTAGTGTGAGAGCCAGAACTAGAGCCAGCACATGCCCAACAGAGCACATTTTGTTTTTATGAAAGAAGGCACTGTGTACATCCAAAGCCATTATTTCCATTAGGGAGTAGTCATATCCAAGAAATGTGACAGAGAGGGAGCCCTTTTGCCTGGTAAGTGGTAACAAAACCAACAATTGAATAAATAACAACTAAATTATGGTTAAGGTATAATGGACTTTAATGCAGAAAGGTGAAGTTTCCTTTCTTTTTTTTTTAAAAAAAAGGCAAGATAGCAAACTCTATGAACAGAATTACTTCAGCTCTATTAAAAAAAAAACTATGTATATAAAAAGATGGGAAATGAACTAAAATACTAACAGGGGTATCTTCTGAGTGGTAAGATTATGAATGATTATAAAAGTCTTTTTCAAATTTCCTATAGTGAACACAATGTAATCAAAATTTTTATTAAAGAAGGATGGGAACAAAATACTATTGAACAACATTCAATAATGGATGAACTTTTTAATAATCTAATCTTTTGAGTTTTTTTGAGAATTAAGATAAAAGCCATTGATGTTTGGGGAAATAATTTATGTATTTTAAGTACAGGAATGCATTAAGCACTTGAATTTGTTCTACTATTCTTCAGATCCTGTAATATCTTCTGACTCTAGTGCCAAGCATTAATATATGTCGGCATTTAGTAAACTTGTTAGCCCCTCACCCTTAGGATTTCTTAACTATGTTATCTTCTCATTCTTAATATGCAAGCAAAACATCCATTAGAAATAAATGATGGCATATTTAGCATTGCTTAAAAAATTTCATTAAAAATGTTATCAGAAAGATATTGGCTTTTCATGCTTTTCTAATAAAATGGCTTGTGTGTTTGCTTTTTAAAACTGAGCCAGTAACTACCCTACTTCTTTTTTCTCACAGCCCTGCCAAACCCAAACACGTGGAACTAAACCTGAAAACCCCTAAGAACCCTGACAGTTTAGCAAATGAACATAACTCATTTAGCCAGCCAGTTCATAAGGGAAACACTGCTACCAAAATCTCCTTATTTGAAAACAAACGAGTGAACAGTAGTCCAAGACACACTGACATTCGAGGCACAAGGAACATTCCCTCTAATAAGACATTTGTTGGGAGAGCAAAGCTGAATTTAGCCAAAAAAGCCAAGGAAATGGAGCAACCAGAAAAGAGAATAATGCCAAATAGTCACCATAATGGTGTGGTGGTGAAGGAACCCTCTACAGAAACCAAAGTCACTCTCCCTAAAGAAGAGATTCTCTCAGCAGCCAGAGAAATGGGAGGGGAGCCTACCGAAGGTCAAGCTCTTGGTCCCCAGCCTAACCAAGATGACAAAGCAGATGTGCAAACAGATGCTGGCTGTTCTTCAGAACCAGTGGTTGCTGCTGTGATTCCTGTTAAGGACCGTAAGCTCTTAGGAGAGGACAACTGTGAGGCTGCTGAAAGCAAAAGACCTGGACTTGAAAATATGATTGATACAGCACAAGACACCCCCACCATTCTTGATGCCAAAGATTCACTTCCAAAGCCCCAGGGTACATTGCCTGACTCACAGCCCCAGGATGAGTCATTCAAGAAGCCTTCTCTTCCTCTGCCTGTGGATGTTCCCAAAGACGAATGTGCTCAAGCTCCCATAAGCAATTTTGCCTGCACTGATCTAAAAGTGTCAGAAAACCATAATGGGTGTATTTTGCCTGTGTCTCACAGTGAGAAAATTCCCCTGTCCAAACTTGGAGGAGGAGAAGGAAACCCTCCTTCTTCCCCAAAGCCCAGCCCAGAAGCTGTGGTAAATGAATGTCCATCCAAGGTCCTTGTCCAGGTCAGGTCCTTCGTTCTTCCTGTGGAGAGCCCTCAGGATGTGAGCTCCCAGATCATTTCAGAAAACTCTGAAGTTAAAGAAGTGCAGTTGCCAAGTTGTCACAATAATGAACTTGAAGTGGTTTCCGTTGCAAGTTGTGCTCCCCAGCAAGAGGAAGTCCTGGGCACATCACCCAAACGCACTCATGGCAAAGAGGAACATGTGGCAAAATCTGTCCCACACGTCACACCACCAGAGTGCGAGAAAGCTCTGCCCATCCAGGCTGAAAGTCAGGGCAGCCAAAAACACCCGGTGGCTGAGTGTAGCCCTGTCAACTCTCCCACCAGCAGAAATCATTCAGAAACTCCTCAGAGGCCAGATCTAAACATGGTGAATGGCAAGGACACCCCTACCAGTCTTTTGAATGTTTCTGCTGGTAGTGATGATAGTGTATTTGATTCTTCCTCTGATATGGAAAAATTCACAGAAATTATAAAAAATATGGACAGCACAATTTGTGTGCCCCAGAAGAAAAAGAAGACCAGGATGCCAAACTCCCCAGCCCCTCACTTCGCTATGCCTCCTATTCATGAGGACAATTTAGAAAAGGTGTTTGACCCTAACGTGTTCACCTTCGGTTTGGGGAAAAAGAAGGAAAGCCAGACAGAAATGTCACCTGCTTTACATTTGATGCAGAACCTCGACCCCAAATCCAAACTGAGGCCCAAACGTGCATCCACCGAGCAGAATGTCCTCTTCAAGTCCTTGCACACTAACACTACTAATGGAAAAAGTGAACCTCAGCCCACTTTAGAAAAATATGACAAAGAGAACAGGGACATTACCAATGGTGGAGTTAAGAGATCAAGGTTAGAAAAGAGTGCGCTTTTCTCAAGCATGTTATCTTCTTTGCCACAAGACAAAGTCTTCTCTCCCTCTGTGACATCAGTCAACAGTATGACCACTTCTTTCAGCACTTCTCAGAACAGTTCTCTGTCTCGGTCTTCAGTGGTACAGCCCCTGAAGGAGGGTGCCCCGCCCTGTGGCTTAGACAAAGAACAGCCAAGTCTTCCACCTCACCACTCCTTAAAGGTCTTCAATTTCAACTCGGCAAATGCATCTCATTCAGATCTGAAAAGTCCAAGCCACATGGAAAAACACCTGCAAAAAGAGGAAAACAAAGAAGACCTGAATTCACGAAGCAATCTACACTTGCCAGAATCGAAATTTTCAGAATTTTCCAAACTGAAAAACAATGATGGTATGGAAAAGGCTAATCATACTGAAAGTGTTCTTAAATCCAACTTGCCAAACCATGGAAACAGTGATACCGACTTCATGGGTCTTTTCAAATCAAGCCGGTACGACCCAGGCATTTCTTTTTCTGGAATGCCATTGTCAGATACCACGGTAAGTACCAACATGGTGTCATTTATTTGGAGTATTGATAAAGCTAGAGGAGAGTGGGATGATGAGCAGTTTATGTTGTTCTTTAGAAATGGTTGTGCTTGGGTGCAGTAGTTTTGATTCATCCTTTGTTCGAAATCCTTGTATGTAGAAGGAATTTGTAAGGGCCCAAGAAAAAAAGGTACTAAGACTCTTTTCTCAAGACATTGCGTGATCTAGGAGGGCAAGTGAACTACATATTTTATGGCACGTATGAATTTGCAACTTGTATTATGACAAGTATACAAAAAAAGCTTTGAGAATTCAGAGGCAGATAAAACATTTTTTTCTTACCTCTTCGGTGTAAAAACACTCCATACTATTCTTAGAATTCTGAAGATTTGTGAAGCAGCTTCCTCTATTGGGAAAGCCCTACCCAGCCAACAAAAGCTTTTCTTTCTTCCTTCTTTTACATTGTGAAATTTTACTTTTATTCTTCCTATTAAGTATTTATCCCCTATAGTTGAGAAAGCATTTTTTGTTTACTAGGAATAAGTTTTCATCAAGGAAAAAAAAATGTTTTCCTGCAAAGTTTTAGGGCAGAAAATTTTTGGTTTACGTTAGATCTTTCCTTAAATATTATAGAGAGGACAGCAACATATGATTTTGAGGGACAATTATGATTTCTCCATCTTCTTCACCTGACTGTATGAAGTTTTTTTTTTCCTTTTGCCTGTGTGTGTGTGCATGCGATTAAACCCAAGACCTGTGCATGCTAAACATATATTCTGAGCAATATCCCAGCCAGAAGTTATTTTATTTATTTTTTAGTTGTTGATACATGTTTATTTCATTTATTTATATGTGGTGCTGAGAATCAAACTCAGTGCCTCACACATGCCAGGCAAGAGCGCTACTACTGAGCCCTAGCCCCGTCCCCAGAAGTTGTTTTCTTTCCTCGGTTTTTTCGGGTGAATTTGTGCCGTTTTGCCACCAAGCTTGATACTCAAGTTGAGGGAGGACAATGAAAGAGGAAGGCAGAATATCAGGTTTAGAGCTCAGCTTTCTTCACCTAGAAACCAGAGTGGAACTGAATAAACAGGAATGGAACTGAATCTCTGTGGCCCACCTGTGAGCCAGCTACCTGGCAAGCGTGGACCATGATCCACCACAGACTGCCCAGGCAGAAGACACCTCGCTCTCTCCTCATCTGGCCAAGGCACTGCAGTATGATTCAGTGTGTTGTGTTGGCTTTCGCAACAATCCCATCAGAGATTGTGATTTGGAAGCTCTTGTGAAATGTAGAGATGGGTTTCCAGAGGTGGTACAGATCCCCTCTTTCATGTGATTTTGTAAACCTGTGGGTTTCAGACTTTTTGGTCTTAAGATGCATTTACATTTTAAAATTATATAAAATATGGTTTCTGCCTATCAGAATTTAGTATATTAGAAATTAACATTGAGAGAAAAATTGAAACACCAGAAAACACAAGTGCACATTCCCTTAACCTTCAAAGCAATCTGTTGTCACATGTCACAGAACCTTGTACTCTTCTGCACACTTCTGAGAAAAGAGAGATGGAAAGGGGTAATTGCCTCATGTTATTTTGAAAATAGCTTTGACTTCATGGACAGCCTGAAAGGATCTTGGGAACCTACTAGGGACATCTGGATCATACTTTGAAAACTGAATTTGCCTATAACAGTCAGAAATCATAAGATTCCTAGCCAGGCACAGTAGCGCATTCCTGTGTTTAAATAAAATTAAAAAAAAAAAAATAAGGCTGGGGATGTGACTCAGTGGCCAAGTTTCCCTGAGTTCAATACCTGGTACAAAAAACAAAACAAAACAAAACAAAAAACTGGAGAAATCATAAGATTCTTCACTATTTCTCTCAAGAACAAAATTTCTGCTAGTTCACTTCCCATTCATTATGACTTTGTTCTTTTACAATTATTCTTAGATCACTTCTGTTGTTTGACAATCTGACATGTCTGACAACACAATATATAAAATTTCCCTATGAAAATCTAATCAGATGGAGTAAAAAGGAAAAACTAAATGCTTTGGGTTTTTTTCATAGGACTTTTTATAATTTTTGTAAAAAAAATGTTTTTTGTAGGTCCTATCCTTTATTGACTATAGAATTATTTTGCTTTAAATTGTAGGTATTTCCTTTAGTTTGTCCACTTCTAATGTATGCATATAAAAACATAAGTATATGCTATTTTGATTTGTAATAATGCTCCAGTGGGGTTTCCTGTGATCTTGTGGATAGATCCCACTTTGGTATGATGTAAGAGCAGTCAGATCAAAGGTTAGTCTAGAAGAGGCATTCTGGTCAGCATTGAAAGTAGTTCATGTTTTGTAATATTTTTACATGTATAATTACTATTTTTATTATCTTTTGTGTTTCTGGTTTTACTTGTCTTGTCAGATGGTCTTGAAAATAATTAGTTTCAAAGTCATATAAAAGGTATTCTGTTCATCAGAAAGGGGGGATTAAATATACCATGTGCAGTGTACGCTATGAAATACACCATACTCATTTTTATTTAAACTAGTAGATGTTACTATGAAAACACAATATTTACAGATTCTGGTAGAAAGTGTCTGAACACATAAAACTGACTCAACTCTTTCTAGATAAGTGATTAGTACATTCCAATCTCTTTTTATATATCTGAGATTACACGGAGATGATCTGAATCTCAGTTGATTCTTATTCTGTGAATTGACATAAAACATAGGTGTGACTTTTGGGCCCTGAGTTTCTAGCATTGGTGGAAATATTCTAGACATTTAAATGAAGAAAACCTGAAATGGCAAAAACAGTTGGGGCTGGGGGAAGCTCTTTTTTTGTTTGTTTGTTTTTGTATTAGTGATTGAATCCAGGGGTGTTTAACCACTGAGCCACATCCCCAACCCTATTTTATGTTTCATTTAGAGAGGAGGTCTCACTGAGTTGCTTAGGACCTCACTCAGTTGCTGAGGCTGGCTTTGAACTTGTGATCCTCCTGCCTCAGCCTCCTGAGTTGCTGGAATTACAGGCATGTGCCACCAAGCTGGCTAGGGGAAGCTCTTAATAATATAAACTCAAAAGAGTTTTAATACAAGTTTGGCATAAAGATGAACATGTTTCAAAACTGTTAAACTATGAGGTAAATTTGATCGTACTTAAAGAATTATAGGTGGGAAAAAGAGGACTGCTATGCAAAGTTGTAATTATTTGTTGTGTTTTTATTCATCTCATTACAGACACTGAGAGGAAGTAGTCAAAATAAACTCAATCCCCGACCTGGAAAGGTAAGATTATTTTCTATTTCTAGTCTAGATTTTTTATCTTGATCTGAAAGGCAAAGTGCTACCACTCCCACTTTCTTGTAGGTGGTGATATTCAGTGAGCCCTATGTCTCGGAGAAGTGCATTGAAGTTTTCAGGGATATTCAGGATTGCAGTTCTTGGAGCCTCTCTCCAGTAGTACTCGTGAAAGTCGTTAGAGGATGGTAAGAGTGGCCCTTGGGCTTCCTGATGTACAGCTTGTGTGTTTTACCTTCTTAAGCACCTTTTTGGTTTTTAGTAGTTATTTATTATTATGTCTTTATCAACGTACAATGCAGAAAATAGTATGTATAGTAAGATAAAGAATTTGTATTTAAGAAATATGGTTAAACATGTTTCTGATTATAAGAGTGATTCATGTTTATTAAAGAAAATTTAGAAAAGTGCAGTAGAACACATATCCCACACAACATTGCTTTGGGTTAATTGTACATCAGAACCCATAATATACTTCTAGCTGATGAGTTTTAAATGAGGTTGTGAAGAATTGCAAGATCAGTTGGCTGTGGTGGTACACATCTATAATCTCAGGAAACTTGGAGGCTGAGACAAGAGGTTCACAAGTTTGAGACCAGTCTGGGCAACTTATCCAAACCCTATCTCAAAATCAAATAAAAAGGTCTGGGAGCATGGCTCAGTGGCAGAGTGTCCCTGAATTCAATCTCCAGGCCCTCCCTCCAACCCAAAATGTACACACTAGTCATATTGTTGGGCCACATGTATCTTTTAAGAAATACATGACAGTTCAGTACATTTAACTAAAGTTTAATTTATAATTTTTGACAAAAATAATTTTTTATTAAATAAAGAGACTGGTGAGAATATAAACATTTTGACAGTTTCTAAAATTGTTTTACCATTTTAATTGCCTCTTGCAAATGCACAGGAAGTTGAATAGAAAGCAACTGAAAAAAAATCACTGATCTGGCATACTTATCTCTGGTACCTATTTATAAACTTGTTTGAAATAAAGAGGGTAGAGCTCTAATTTATGGTTTAAAAATTAGTAAGCTTTTCTTTTGGCCTCTGTTTGATTAAATGTATAACACCTTTCCTGTTAGGATTTTAGATACTTTAACATGTTTCTCTATGTATTTAACAAATACATTAGAATGAATACATTAGAAAAATAAATTTTCTTTCATTCTTAAATTTGAAGACTGAAAATTGTAGTAAAACAAATTTTGCATAAGTTTTGTTTTTAATCAAACAGTGCTTTTTTTTCTTTCTTTTGCAGATTTCGTTGGCCTCTTTCTTTTTTGGGGGGGTGTGGGTGTTACAGGGACACTCAACCACTGAGCCACATCCCCAGCCCGATTTTGTGTTTTATTTAGAGACAGGGTCTCACTGAGTTGCTTAGTGCCTTGCTTTGCTGAGGCTGGCTTTGAACTCCCGATCCTCCTGCCTTAGCCTTCCAAACTGCTGGGATTATAGGCGTGTGCCGCTGTGCCCAGCTTGCTGGCTCATTTTTTTTCTTGAAAGTATAAACACTTAAGAGCAGCAGTGTCATATATCCACATGTAGTTTTTCATAGCATTTAACTGTTATTGGGAAGAATAGTTATAAGATGCTTTTCCCATTAGTATGCATGTGCATGTATTAATATCCATTGATTTGACCCCAATATATGTTAAAATTCCTTTAAGAGACATGATTTTTACACATCTAAGGAAAAAACCCAACCACAGTTAACATCCACTTGTCTGACATATCATTTGCAAATTTCCACTAACTGGTGATTCCATAGAATATTGATAGCTCTGTAATGTTTATAGTGATAACCCACAATTTCTCTAAGATCCTGATACTGTTCTTGAATCATCAAAGGCTTCATTATACCAAGTAAAGTTTGTTTTAGGGAAAGTATGTGCCATTATAGTTGCTAGAGAATTGGTCACTGATATAATAATAATAATTATTATAATGATAATAATAATAAAAAATATATATATATATACACCAGAATAGTTTAGAATTAAAGCCTCTCTCACCAAGACTAGCTAATGGTTTTGCTGTGTTTTATTCTTAGTTGGATTTTGTATGAGAAACCAAATTTTGAAGGACATTCCATCCCCTTAGAAGAAGGTGAACTGGAACTTTCTGGTCTCTGGGGTATAGAAGATATTTTGGAAAGAAATGAGGAGGCAGAGTCTGATAAACCTGTAGTGATTGGTTCAATCCGACATGTGGTCCAGGTAGGTTATGGTAAATCTGAATTTCATTCATTCAGCAAATATTTATTGAATAAATGTTTCTTGATTCTTACTTTGAGGAAGTATTCATTTTATTAAATAAGTGATTGGGGAAAATTTGGTACTTTATAAATGTTCTATAATTTAAGTATTATACATTTCAAATGAGTTAGAAAGACTTTTCAGTTGGTTATATTTTTTTTTCATAATAAACAAAGACAAATTTGTCTTAAGACTAATCTTCCACCCCTGAACCCTAGTTCCAATCTCCCAAATGGACTTTTTGTAGTAACCTAGTTGTAATAAGTTCTATGTGAACATATTTTTTTCCCTTTACTTAGTCTTTTTGGCTACTGCATGATTTCTGATTACCTTGAATAGTTTACAGATACTGTATTTTGGAAACATAATCTAAACATAATTCAGTTGATAGTTCAACTCTGGGGTTTTATGTGGATTTAAAAACTGTTATTTGAGATATTTGAAGTCACTTTATGGATTGCATAAAATTTCTGATTTCTCATTTGTTGATGAGCAAGGTATAATCAACATCATTCTTTTTGGCTCATGGAATTTTAAAAAATGTGATTCATGGATCTTCCAAGAGGAAAATTAAAATTCCAAGTTTGTATGATAGATATGGGTGTCATGAAGTGCAATAAAAGGCTTCAAAATTGGAACAATCAACAATTTTTGGCAGAGGAAAGCTTTTCATGTTGCTATGTGATTTGAGGTTTAGCTTAGTGTTATATCTCATTGAAATGATATCTTTCAGTGGATCTTAAAGTTGTTTCTGGGTTTTCTTTTTTTTTTCTTTTTTACTGCTTTAAATAATGATGTGTGAACCTTTTTTGTTTAATAGTTTCTAATTTTCTGATTTAGTCCCTTGGGTTAAATCATTCTGAATTATACCATGTTGGAAGGCAGGAACACATTTTTTTAAAGAGATTGTGTGCATGGTTTCTTGAAACATGAAACACATATCATATATTCAAGTGAGTTACCATTTTAGTTCATTAATTCCTCATTTTGATAATGTTTAAAAGAGCCTCACCTGAACTGACCCCCAAAAAATTGAAGTGGAGAACATAGGGCTGGGATGTAGTTCAGGCAGCCAAAGCATGCATGAGCTTTCTTTCTTCTGTATTATAGTTCACACAGCTCAGCAGCATAGAAGAGATTTGATAAATATTTGATTAGCACACTCTGCCAGGAGAGGCCCTTTGAAGAGTATCTGATGGACCCTGGATATGCAGGGCATGGAACAATGACCTAAGTGTGGAGATTCAAAAATCACCATGAATGTGGGTTTTGGCTTTACATTTTGGACCAAACCAACATATAGTGGTCTAGTCACAGTCATGAAGAGTTACCCCAGTGGTTTTGTGGTCACAAAACAATAGTTGAGGAAGAGAAGGGCAACCATTCTATAGACCAAGATCTCTGGACTTGCAGAATTGCCTCTAAGCAAAGTAGCCAGAACTCCTGTGACTAAGGAAAGCCAAGAGAGGATGTGAGAATGATGTTCCAGAATGCTAAAAAAAAATGCATTTCTGAATTTTTTGAATGTAATGTTAAGATATATGACTAAAGTAGCGTGTCTACCCTGAAAGAGGCATATTATGAAGTCGTGGGTACAAATAGGATAGGGATAAAATGGCAGGCACCCCATGAAACGTAAGTGTACATTTAAACTTGTTTTAATTGGTTGCAAAACAAAAAAAGAGAGAGAGTGAAAGAGAGAGAGAGAATAACAAGCATACTGTAGAGTTAAATACATGGTGTAATTGTTGTGTATATATATATATATTTTTTTTTTTTTCAGGATTACAGAATTAGTCAAATTGACTTATTTACTGAACCAGAGGGGTTAGGACTCCTGAATTCCTACTTTGATGACACTGAAGAAATGCAGGGATTTGGTGTCATGCAGAAGACATGTTCCATTAAAGTGCATTGGGGCACGTAAGTGTTATATTTCAAATATAGTTTTAATGAATCTTTTTTATGCATGTATTACCAGAGATAATACTAGCGATATTTGGTTTCTGATTTGTTTTCTTGCTAAGTAATTATTGACTGAATGGTATTTTTAATACAATACACGAAGTCCTGATTGTTTTGCACCTGTGTTACTATGATTCACGTCTCTTATAAACAATAACAGTTTATTAGAGGAAGTGTGAAGGAAAATGGATTTTTAACGTAGGCCTTTTTCCTTCATGTCAGAGGAATCTGATGCCTTCAAAGCTGAGTAGCAGATATACCTTCGTTGTAATTCAAAGGAGGTGACCTGAAGCATGTACCCCCAATAGTTCAGGCGGGATGGAAGCCAAAATGTGGGCACTTCCTTTCATATTTTCACACAATGCTATCAAAAGCCTCTAGGATGTTGTCACAAATCACAGGAAACTGCAAGAATATTTTGAAGGAAATGGGAATATCTCAGATAGGGGAGAAATTAGGATAAAAAGTGCAGACTGCAGCGGTAAAGAATGTGGTCTCTAAAGTAGAGGATAGTGGGAAGGGAGAATAGAAAGAAGTTCAGTAGATTAGACAAAGGGGAATGAAGGGAAGGGAGGAGGGATGGGAATAGGAAAGACAGTGAAATGAATTGGAAATAACTTTCCTATATTCTTATATGAACCAGTGAATCTCCACATCATATACAACCACAAGAATGGTATCCTAACTAGAATAAGTTATACTGCATGTATAAATAATATGCCAAAATTCACTCTACTGGCATGTATATCTAAAAAGAACATTTAAAAAAAAAAGAGAAAAAAAATTCAAGTGGAGAACATAGGGCTGGGGGTGTAGCTCAGGCAGCAGAGCATGCATGAGACTCTAGGTTCAATCCCTAGTACCACAAAAATGAGCTAAAGAATTCACATAAAGTGGAGTGCAGAGCCCAAAGCATGTGAAAGGCATCCACTGAATGTAGGGAGAAAAAGCCACCAAAACTGCTTTATATTATATTTAACATCTCCTTTTAAGATTTTATTTTTGTTGTGTGCATGTACTAATATGTAACAAAAGATCCCACCATTATTTACAACTATAATACACCAATTAAAAAAAATGTGGAGAAAGAAAAAAAGGATTTTATTTTTGTTTATGTATTCTAATATGCATAATATATTATTTCAGTGTTGATGCATATTATTTAGAAGTATTTACATATTCAGCAAATGTGCATAAGTATTTATTAATAGGATATGTAGTCTCTCCTGTAAAGTGATGTAGAATATCTGTACAGTGAATGGTAAGGCAGTCCTTCATCATGGTGTTTGCATCCTGTTGAGTACTAAAAGTCTTCTTTTACTGTTGTTCTTATCTTGGAATAATGATTTGATTTTGCAGAAAGTACGAACTGGGTAAACTAGAGATTATAGAGTCTGAATTTTGTTTCTCAGAAATCAGAAACTAAAAAACTTCTAGGTAACTTAATAGGGAGTATGACTTCCAATCGGATGTCCCTTCTGTCATGGAGCTATCCATTCAGTAGGACCAGACAAACACAAATAAGTGTGTAATGTGTCAGATGGTGAGGGCTACAGGAAACATTACAGAGAAGGGCAGGTGCAATGCCATTTTAGATAAGGTAGTGAAGAAAGATCTCTGGTGACATTTAAGCAGGGACTTGAAGGAAGTGAGAAAGTCTGCATGGGGTCAGCTGAAGGAGAAGGGACAGGGGATGCCCTAAGCAGAAAGCACAGTCTTTTTGTGGGGGGAGCCCTTCAGGGCAAGCTAAGAGGCCTAGGTGCTGAGCTAGGAGGAGGGTGAGGAAAAAGGCCTCCTGTCCTGGCAAGCCGTTGGGCCTTAGGGAAGGAATTGACATTTACTCAAAGTGGCGCCAGTGATGCTTGGAGAATTTTGATGGACTTTGTATTTTAGAATGATTACTCTGATTGCTGAGTACAAATAGACTGTAAAGGCGGAGTAGAAAGAAACTCATAAACAAGAAATTGTAATCATAACAGACAAGAGGTGATGGTGGCTTAGATAATGTGATTTGCAGGAAATGGGCAGATTTTGGTGCATTTTAAAGGTAAAACTGACAGCATTTGCTGTGTGCACACACATACGCACACACATGCACTACACACCATATACACACAGCCACATACCATGTAGACATATACACATGCATCCCCCACACACTTATTTTTGGCATGTTTCAAATAAAAACAGAGAACTTTAGAACTTCATAGGGTATATAGCATCTGGTCTAATGCCATCATTTAAGCAAGGAAGATAGGCTTTGGTCTCCTTCTCTAGGATAGGGTTAGTTGTTAGCAGAACATGTTCTAGAAAACAGATATTATGAAGTGAATGAGACGTTTTTCCCTGGGTAGTCTTTGATTATTTTTACTATGAAATACTTGATATAAACAGAAAACATTTATATATATATATATATATATATATATATGTGTGTGTGTGTGTGTGTGTGTGTGTGTGTGTGTGTGTGTGTGTATAGATGGAGCCCAATAATGGGCCTACCAGCCAACTCATAACTTAGACCATTATCAGCACTGTGGCAGAAAATTGTCACCCACCCTGGTCCTAGTCCCTGATTCTTACACCTAACCTCTCTCCTAAGATTACCCTTGTTGACGAGTATGTCAATTTGTTCTTTTTCATTACTGTGCAGTAATCATTCATTGTGGAGTATACCATATTGAAGCTCAGTTTTTCTGTTTTGGTAATACTAAGGATGGAACCCAAGGCCTTAGTGGCAAGCACTTTACCACTAAGCTACACCCCTAGCCCTCAGAGCCCAATGGTTTTTTTTGTTTGTTTTTACAAAGGCTTTCAAACATACATAAAAGTAGAAAGAATAGTTCAATAAACACCCACATATCACCCCCAGATTCAATGATGGGTAATATTTTGCCGTATTTTTTTATTATTATTATTAGTTGTTCAAAACATTACATAGCTCTTGATATATCATATTTCATACATTTGATTCAAGTGGGTTATGAACTCCCATTTTTACCCCATATACAGATTGCAGAATCACATCAGTTACACATCCACGTTTTTACATAGTGCCATACTAGTGACTATTGTATTCTGCTGCCTTTCCTATCCTCTACTATCCCCCCTCCCCTCCCCTCCCCTCCTATCTTCTCTCTCTACCCCATCTACTATAATTCATTTCTCTCCCTTGTTTTTTTTCCCTTTCCCCTCACTTCCTCTTATATGTAATTTTGTACAACCATGAGGGTCTCCTTCCATTTCCATGCAATTTCCCTTCTCTCTCCCTTTTCCTCCCATATCTCGTCCCTGTTTAATGTTAATCTTCTTCTCATTATTTTGCCATATTCATGTTATCTTTTTCTGAGCCCTTGACAGTGAGTTGCAGCTATCATGTCCCTGCACTGTATTGGCTTCAGCCTGAATGTCTTTGTAATCACATTCTCCTGCCTAGCTATCTGTGTCATACCTAAGAAAATTAGCACCGTGTCTGTGACAATATGTAGTCTGTGCCCATAAACACATTTTCCCAATTGCCTCAGGAATATCTTTTAGGAGTTGTTTTATTTTTGTAAAGTCAGGATTCATGCCTGGGGTTGTAGCTCAGTGGTAGAGCACTTGCCTAGCATGGGTGAGGCACTATGTTTGATCCTCAGCACCACATAAAAGTAAGTAAATAAAAATAAGGGCTAAATTCTTTTTTAAAAATCAGGATTCTGTCAAAGTTCATGTTAATATGTTTGACTGTCCTGTCTCTGTAAGTCTCTTTTAATCTCTGTTTCCCTTGCCACTGACTTTTTAAAGAACTTAGGCTGGCTGTATTAGAGAACATGCGTTTTTTCCTTTGAGATTCATAGCCCATCTTCTTTTGAATAATCTGAAGCTTGGCACGTTCATATTTAATCTTTCAAGTATCCAGTTGGTTTCTATAAATGGCCATCACTTATGTTCAACCATGTCTTAAGGATCCAGCTATAAATGCTGTAAGTTCAACTTTGCCTGCTAGGTGGTATTTTCAAGTTACTTGTTTAAGAACAAGTGGGTAAGACAGGACTGAATTTTTTCTTAGGTGACTCAAAGGGTATTTCTAAAAGAGTAATTCCATAGATATTTTTCATATGCATATGCATTACTATTGTTATTACTTCATCAATATCCATATGTATTTGTCATTAATATATTTGCATACATTTATGTTTGTTAAAAAAGAAGCTCATGCTTTATAGTTGCACAGTTTAAGCAGAACTATAAAGTGGTATTTCTTTCTGTATAAGGTATTTCTTTCTGTATATTGGCAAAAGCTCATTACCTAAGTGCACAGGAAAAGAGAAAGAGTACCTTTAGAAACTGAAATAATATTGCCTGAAGATAATTTCCCCCTTTCCTGATAACCTCATGAATTCTGTATCATGTTGGCACAGAATGAGTCATACTGTGTTGTAAACGTCTGTTTGAGTTATCCAGCAGGCTCCCTTGCCAAACAAGTGCCCTTAGAATGTGGCCTTTTCAAATATAACAGTTTGTATCTTTTTTTTTTTCTTTAGCAATTTCCCCTCTACCCCAAATTGCCTTCCTTCTATAAATGTTATATGACTTACCCACATGCTTCCAGGAAGATGAAATTTTAGTTTCAAACGAATAAATTCCTTTAGAACTTAAAAATACTATAAGGAAAGACCTAGTAAAAAAGATGCTTGGGTAAATATCATTTCAGAATTTCAGAATGATTCATGAGCCATATATCCTGTTTATGAAGAATTAAGCCCATTCACTTGTGAAGGAGTTGAACTCTGAAGGCTTTGTCTTATTAGCATAATAACAGAATTTATTGCCCAACTCCTATTAGTTAAGGTACAGAATTCACGTGTAGCTTTGAACTCCAAAAATACTTAATGCATCCTTAACTGTCATGCTTTAAACATAAGAAAGTTGAAAGTATCCCCTTCTTAGCCTCTGTTTGCATGTGGTTTGTTGGCATTACAGTGGTATTCAAAAGACAGGCCTCTTTTTTCCTTCAGTTAATTTATTCTCAAGTATAACATTTGTACAAAAAGATACACACAAGTGAATAAGCTAAGTGAATTTTCAGAAAGTGAATACATAAGTATAACTATCACCAGATCAAGAAGTATAACATTCTAGCATGTCAGAAGCTCCCCCATTCATGCCCCCTCCCAGCCCTGCTCACCTCCACATCTGCTCTTTTCCTGACTTCTAACACTGTAGATTAGCTTTGATCCCCACTAGTAAACCACCCCTGGCCTCCCAACATTCCTTGGTGCGTGTTGACAGGTCTTGGGTCGGATTCTAGTTGTAAATCCCTGTGTAATTAGTGAGTCTAAAAGAAGTTACTGATTTACCCAGGGGAATCTTTAACAGAAACCATTACTAAAAATCATGCCTTAGGCCCAACTGCAAAGAAGAAAAAAGCTAAGAGTCCCAATTTGCTGGTAGAAGATTTCATTTAGGATCATATCCTGCTCTTGATGGTGTCTTGGGGGGTGGGGGGGGGCATGTATAACTTGGTGGAGAACCACAGCCAGGCATTTTAACCACACTAACAGATTGGAGAGTTTATGTGATCTCCAAGAAATCTTGGCTCACGAAGGGGTACCTTATCACCTTCCATCTGAAAGTCACTTCTCCAGCAGCCTCACCTTCCCAGAACCTTGCCTGGAATGAGCAAATTTACCAGACCTTGAAATCTTTAGAGGCCGTTCTAACAGGCGTGATTTTATGGTTTCCTGCTTTTAGCACAGGAGAGGAGGGTGGGGCCGCTGGCTCCCTGACTGAAGCAGAAGTGACAGCTGACCAGCTTGGTAGAAGGGTGTGGTATTGCACAGTCATTAAAATCAGAACCAAAACCTCAAAAAGCTTTGCAGCCTGGGAACAAGCAGCCCTGCAGACCTTCAGAGCCTCCGGGGACATCACTATGCATTAAGTATGCTCATGGTGATGATCCTGAGTAACTATGAAAAGAGTAAATGAATGCTTGGTGCACTCTCTGCGATGAGAAAAAACACCATAAAAAAATGATGGGGAGCCTGGTTCTGGAGTCAGCTTTGATCATCCCTGTGTGGCCTGGGGTGATTTACTTAACATCATCTGTAAAATGGGGACAAAAATATTCCTTCCTGGTAGCATTCTTGTGAGGATTAGATGAAATTCTGGGCAGCACTCCTTGTGAGCTTGAAGAGGATGTTAGCTGTTATTAATTTTGACAGCATGAAAAATGATTAGGTGGCACTCCTCAGTCTTAGGTTACAAATGAGGTGTTTCCTTTTAAAACAGGCCTTGAGATTTCCCAAGAGGGCCTCTCCAAATACAGTGCAAAAAGAGAACTCCTTTTATTACTTGGAAGTAATATAAAGGTTTACAGTTAGAAGCAATTAATCATATGAATTAAAAATGAGTAGGCAGAGCCAGCCAAGGAGGTGTAGGAGGTCAGGAAGGGGAGCCCAACTTGCTCCTCCTGACACTAACAGCTAAGTGCAACCGTCGTCATAGGGGGCCACATCCTCTGTTCCTTTCCCCTCTTGTCACAGGAGCCCTTTTTACCAGAAAGGAAACACTGAAATAAACGATAAGTTGTCTTTCTTTCCTTCCCTGGTGTTTATTTAGATGGCTGATTTATGAAGAACCTGGATTTCAAGGTGTCCCTTTCGTCTTGGAACCGGGCGAATACCCTGACTTATCCTTCTGGGATACAGAGGAAGCCTACATTGGATCCATGCGGCCTCTGAAAATGGTAAAAATCAAATGTGGTGTTCTTGAAGGCGGTGACTCTGTCAGCTTGACATTGATAATTCACAGGATGTGATATTGAAGCAACAAACGGGCTTTACATATGTATGTAGGTGAGAGTTGAGTCCCGGGAAATACAGATTTTTCTTAATGAGAAATTTTGTCAGTTAAATAAAAACACACATACACACACACTTAGTTGTAGATGGATACAATAACTTAATTTTATTTATTTATTTTTATGTGGTGCTGAGGATCAAACCCAGTGCTTCATCTGTGCGAGGCCCATTGCTGGATAGAAATAATAGAAATGATGACTTCCTAGGTGCTACAGGTTAAAAAGTCGATAAGACTAGGTCTTTTCCCTTCAAGGCAGCCTCAGCCTTGCAGAGCTGCAGATGTGTGCTCAGAGTATCAGCCTAGTGTAGAAAGTGAAGGATTAAACATGCATGGAAAAATAGGAGGAATGATAAATAAAATTCCAACTTGTGGCTGATGTGACAGAGGAGGGGGATGATTAGGGAAGCTTTATGATAGATCAGGTTGAGTCTTAAACCATGAGCAGGATTATTGTAGATAGAGGTGCCAGAGAATGCACTGTGTGCGCCAGGGTGCAGAGTTCTGAAAGGGCAGGACACCGAGGACAAGCCAGTTGGGACAGGAGACTCAGCTGAGTGGCACTTGGGCAGGGAGGGCCTGGAGCTGGATGTCCTCCTAAAGATTTGCCTTAGCCTTGTATTTCCTCTACCTTATCCTTATATTTTGCATTGGGCTTTGTCTCTTCTGCTTGGGAGGGACTATAGGTTTGGCTGCAACTCTCTTGTCCCCTCATGGGACACAGTGTGTGCCGTGTTGTAGTAGGTGCTCACTAAACACTTATGGTGGGACTCAAATTTGCAAACCTCCTGCCTCAGCTTCCCAAGTTGTTGGGGTTATATATAAGTGTGTGCCACCATGCCTGGCTGGGATTTTTTATATTTAATCTAATAGTTTATTTTATAACTCTTAACAGTTTTGTAGGTGGTGGGTTGCAAAACCAAATGCCTCCAATGGCCAGGCAAGAAATAAAAATGAGGCTGGCTGGGAGTTCAACCACAGGGAGTGGTGGGGATAGCAAACCCCAGCCTGTGTCCTGCTGAAGGCTGAACTTTGTGCAGGATCAAAGAGTGCAGAAGGTGAAGGTTGTTGCTTGTGAGAGTTTAGGTCCCGAGATGACAGATCTTAGGACTGTTTTTTAAGAGAAATGAGAAATATAGATTTTTCTTAATGAGAAATCTTGTCAGTTAAATAAAAACAAAAACACACTCTATGTGCACCTTGAACATACAGACCACTGTGTGAGTCTGTTCTAGGTGGACTTCCTGTATCCTCATTGCTTTGTTGGTAATTTTAGCACTAGTTCACATACATTAAAACAAAGTGGAATGTAATCACACCATGAGATTCACCTTCTATGGATAATATAAAATGGTAAGGAATCAATGAAAAACCATTTTTCTCTGTTGTTTTTCTTTTCAGGGTGGTCGTAAAGTTGAATTCCCAACAGATCCGAAGGTAAGTGTGTATGAGCGTGCGTGCGTGTGTTATTCCACTCCACCTCCATGAAGATAATGCTTGTGTGACTTCACATATAAAGCTTCACCACACATAGTTGCCCCCAAAGGAAGATACCAACTTACATGTGCCACCCTCCAGGCTGGAAAAATACTGCTAATGGCACAATTATCATTAACTGTATGTGGAGCCCTGGTTCAAAAGGTTGATTGTTGCATTCAATGTATAATTTTTGGTTGTATTTACTAATTGCAGGGCCTGTTGCTGCTTGCCAGTTAGCCAAGAAGAAACTTTTTCAAGACAAGTTCTCCCTACTCCCAAATGCTGTTATTCCCATTTCCCACATCTATGCCACATACTTTGATGGTATAGATTTAAAAAAAATTTTAAAGCAACTTTAGGATTCTGATATCTAAGCAAAAAGCAAAGTTTGTCCTAAGTAAATTAGTAAACTATAACAGTCTGACCTAAGCAAAGTTCTACATATTGGTTCTCAACATTGAATAAAATCCAGTGATTTAAAAACTGTCTTTTATGCTCTGGGTCTGGGCTATTTCACATCAGGACAGTGGGTGGAGGTGGGGAGACCTATTGCTTTTTTTTTTTTTTTTAACTATATTATCACTGGGTCTATCTTATTTCTGTTGTAGGTTATTATTTATGAAAAGCCTTTCTTTGAAGGAAGATGTTTGGAACTAGAAACAGACCTGTGTAGCATTGTCACTGATGAGACAGAAGTGACTGGAGATGATCACTTGCCCCTTACATCAGTGGGGTCCATGAAAGTTCTAAGAGGCATGTAAGTAGACAGGCATAACTGGAAGGATTTCTTTTTCCTTTAAACAAGCAGTAAATGTGTCCTCCTCCCTGCCAAAGGTGTTATTTCCAATTCTGTGGCATGATGAATTTCAACAGCTTTACCCACGCCTGTGTCTCACCCATTGTGACCCGCACTTGGGAATTGACCATCCAGACTAATTAAATTTGCAGTCTTGTTTATTAGAATTATGCTCCAAATTATACTGAACTGTTATAGTTTGCTTTCTAATTTGTGTGATCTTTTGTAATTTTTAGATCTTACCCATTTATTATAGATGTATATCCTGGAAATAGTCTTAAAAATAGACCAAAACTCAAAATATTTGAATTATTACTTTAGGAAAGTCTATCCAGTTTACTTGCTGGGGTTCATTTGAGTCAGCTGAAATAATCTCAAATACCCTTATACCCTTTTAGTCCTCTGAGGAGCTTGTGTCTTAGGTTGTGTTCTTCAACATAGTCTCCTAAATTTTAGAGAATTCCAGTAGTGAGCGTGTTAGTAAAGTAATCTAGCTTTAAAACTATAGGTATCTGTCAGTTAAACTGATGTGTGCACGAGGACAGTTTTAAATGTCTGAAAAATCACTGCTCCATGCCTGTTCTTTCAATTGCAGTTGGGTTGCCTATGAGAAGCCTGGATTTGTGGGTCATCAGTATTTGCTAGAAGAAGGAGAATACAAGGATTGGAAAGACTGGGGAGGTTATAATGGAGAGCTTCAGTCCTTACGACCTATATTAGGGGTAAGTTGAAGAAAAGCTAATGGCTTATTCTTAGTTTTTTTTTTTTTTAATAATAAATGGCTACTCTTTAAATTTTGAATATATTTTTTTCAACAGGATTTTTCAAATGCTCACATGATAATGTACAGTGACAAAAACTTTGGATCCAAAGGTTCCAGTATCGATGTATTAGGAATTGTTGCTAATTTAAAGGAGACTGGATATGGAGTGAAGACACAGTCTATTAATGTACTGAGTGGAGTGTAAGTGAACTAATCCATTTAGGATCTTAAACATGGATTCTGCCTTGGTTTATGTTAAACTTATAAGTCTGTGACACAGAATAGGCTACTCTGTAAATATATCAACAGCTCACCCTTAACTCAGGCACTTAATATTTACTGCCATGCCTTTTCATAACTGACTTAAAATATTTCTCATAGCCAAGCATCATGATGCACACCTGTAACCCCAGCCACTTGGGAGGCTAAGGCAGGAGGATTGCAAATTGCCCCCAAAGGACCAGCCATGACAGCTTAGCATGACCCTCTCTCAGAATGAAAAGGGGTGGGCATGTACCTCAGTGGTAGAGAGTCCATGGGTTCAGTCCCCAGTACTGCAAACCAACCAAACAAATAAACAACAACAACAACAAAAACTTGTTATATCATGTAATAAAATGTTGGAGTAGGCTTTGGGGTATCTTCATGGAAATATCATTAATTTCTTAAGATGAGAATCAAATAATTAGTAATCTAACATTGAAAACCCAAGGGTGGAACAAAGTCGAATGTTTTCCCATGTTCCTACACCTGCTCCCAAAGGTTTCTTCATTATTATTTGGACATAAAAATAATTGTTTCAATCTACCTGGAGTTAGCAATTTAATGCTTTATTAATGGTAAATCAAGTTTTTATTGAACGATGACCAGTCAAGAGGCGAGTGACTGTGAGCCAAACTCAGTTGGCTCAAGTGATAAAAGTAGAACTCTTTGGCTTAGCAAACTGAAAAGTCCTGGAGAAGATTCTGCTTCAGGCATGGCTGGATGTAGGAGATCAAACACTGTCATCAGAATTTGGTCTCTGTCTCTTGCCTAAACTTTTTTCTATTTCTGTTTCTAGGCAAGTCCATTTCACCTGGCATCCTTTGTCACATCTGGCTTTTGTTTTCCCAACTCATTGATTGCAGTGGAAAGGTTTTCTCTTTCCCTCACAAGTTCCAGGTTTGACTCTGATTCCCCAAGCATAGGTCCTATGCACACAATGGCCATGCCTGTGTGATGTGCAGATCCCTAGAGCTGAGGTGTAGGTGGCTCCTCCATTCTGCAGGAGCCACTTAGGAAATTATTGGAACATAAGAAGTGAGGATAGATACCAGATGTGCAGAAACAGCAGGTGTGATTGTAGGGAGTTGTAGAATTCTTTTTTTTCCAGTGTTTGGGATAAATCCAGAGCATTGAGCATGTGAGACAAGCTTTCTACCACTGAACCATAGCCCTAGCCCCACTAATTATTCCTATGATCCAGGCTGATGTCTGTTCTAATTTGTTATAAATGGTTATATGAAATAATTTAACACCATTGTTATTGAAAGTGTTTGATGTTAGGGTTTTTGTTTTTTTAGTTTTCGTGGTACTGGGGATTATATTCAAGGACTCCTGCCAGTGATTGTGAGCCAGGAAATGCTATGGAAATGTTCTACCACTGAGCTGCATTGCCAGCCCCTTTTAAAATTTTTAAAATTTAAGGCCAGGTTTTGTTCAGTTGCCCATGCTGGCCTTGAACTTATTATTCTCGTACCTCAGCCTCTGGAGCAGTTGGGATTGCAGGCATGTGCCATTGCACCCCGGCTGATGTTAATTTTTTGGTGTCCTGAGTGACATAACCTATTTGCATCAGTCTAGCCTCAAACCTGTTGTATTTCATGGGGCCTCCCATAGTAGCCCTGCATATTTGAGATGTTCCTAATGTACAGTACTTTTTACTATTAGAAATGCTCACTAGATTCTTGTGTAATTTCCTGCTTGTGTTGCCTCCTTGCAGAAGAACATCAGCTGCTTCTGGATCTTAGCAGTCTTAGCAGAAAATGTGTCCTGTTGTGTCCTATTCTGGAGCCCTTGTATTTTAGAATCATAGTTGACCATCTACAAAAGATGTCATCTGAAATGTATAGCAGAAATCCTTTGAATTGGTGCGGTGACTCTGTAGTATTTTAGATTGCCTTTACAGCTAGTCAGGTGGGAAATAGAGTGACCAATTCAGTCTGGCAAAACAGTTGTGTATTTTGATACTCATCTGGCGTGTTGATTAGTCACAAGTCAGTCATTCAACCTAGCAAAGGAGGCCACAGGATGCTGGATAACATTTCCTTTTATGTAGATTATGCATTTATGTAGATTATGCTGTTAGCACAGGTAGAATTATTATGCCCTGAGCCATTCTCCTTTCCTTTTTACCCAGCCCCTGTTTACTTGAATTGGTTTCCTTTATAAAATGCGGCTTTTATATGTTTCTATTATTAGTCATTTCTAGTTGTATTTCCTGGCTTGGGCTTTTTTTCTCATTGCAGCCGTTGAGTTTTGGTGTGGGGGAAGCTGAAGAGAGGTACACCCGCACACCACTTCCTTTTAATTCTTTGGATGAAGCAGGGCTTCTATACTTACCAAGACCAGCTGCCTCCTCATTATTTCATGCATTTTTGTCACTTGACAAATATTTATTAAGGTCTACTGTGTGCAAATGCATTATATTATATCCTTACAAATGTTACAGTATTTATATAAAATATAATTATTACTACAAAAGAGATGGAGATTAAATGCTTTGCACAGCAGAGAGAGATTAATTTCTGGCCCCGAGGAGTTTGGACTCGAGTTAGGCCTTGCAGGGTGGGAAGGTAAGATATGCCAAGATGAGGAAGACTATTCAGTCTTACTAGTTTCAAAGAAAATTAGTTTTACTTTTAATAGCTTTATTTTTATTGGTTAACAAGCATTTTAGCTGGCTCTTTATTTCTTTAGTTTGTTCTTTATTTCTATTAGTTATAGGAAAAAAAATAAAATTTTTTGAAATTCTTGTTCTGTGAAAGTATCTCCCAGGAAACTCACAGGTAATAAATTCCCTGGGGAGCAAACTTGTGATTAGCTCTGAAACAGCCTTCAGGAAGCATGCTTATGAGACCAGAGTTGAGGTTTTGAGAACTACATTCCATTTCTTTTTGGAAAATCAGAAGAAACTCCTTTACACAACTCTTGCTTGTCAATTTCTAATTCTGTGCTATACTCCTCCTCAAATAATGGAAACTGGGCTAATTTTTTTTAAAATAAAGAGCAGAATGGAATTTTCTGGAGCACAGATAAAAATAACTGGGCCGTTGTCTTAAATTCATTTTCCTTTGGCCTACCACAGAAGGACAGGTTTGGTAATTCTGAGCCATTACACTGCCAGGCCAGGACCTGCTAGCACTTGTACATGCCTTTCTCCCGCCCCTTGCCAGCCTTTAAACAGAGCATCCTGATTCACATGTACAGAAAACGTTTGAATAGGGCCAGTCTGGCATACAATCTAAAATAAAACAGAAATTCGGCTACATTCGTTACAATTAGTATAATAATACTTATATATCTTTTTTTTTTTTTCCTTTTTGGTGGTGCTGGGGATTGAACCCAGGGCTTCATACATGCAGGCAAACATTCCTTTACCACTGAGTCACATCCCCAGCCTGAATATGGGGTTTTCTTGAGTCCCAAGTATTAGTAGATGCTCACCTCAATTGGTGTATTTGGGTTTCTTCTCCCTCCTCCAGGACCCCCTCCATAACACACAATTCATGGAATCCAGTTGGGGCTGCATCTCGGAGAACAGCAGCAGTCTGAATTCATGTAGCATCTTCATAAGTTGTTTTCCTGTCTCAACTTTGGTGAATTAGATGGGCTTACCTGGGTGTTGTGTGTTTACTTGCATGTAGTTTGTTTTAGTTTTATGGGGAACTGGAGTACCCATATTTGTTAGTTCAAGAATAAAGGGAAAAAAATTTCAAAAAGAAGGATTGAGAAGCTTCTCCCAGACTGACTTAGTGGCTGTCCACTCACCTCGGGAGCATTCTCTCTCATCTCTTGCTCTTTACTGGCTTTTTTTTTCTCTATATACATTGAAAGTGGGATTAAAAGCCCTTTAGCCCTTTGTTCTCTAACTTGTTACAAGGCCCTACTGGGAACACCTTTTTTGAGATATGACTTTTTAACTTAATTTTTCCTTTTTAAAAGTCCTGTTTTTTTTTTTTGTTTTTTAAAAATCTCCTTGCTAAGCAGACACCCCCCTCCCTCAACACACACATCATACAGTGCCCTGCTACTGTCACTGTCACTGCTCAGCATGTGGTTAGCCACAGGCTGCATATGCAGAGGCAGTACTACAGGTACCCATGTGCCTGTGACCTCACCAGGTCAGTTCCGGGATCTCAGCCAACTCCCTTACCTATAAAGAAAAACACAAACTTTCACAAAGATTAAAGGGCCTCTTCAAAGTCACCTGAAAGTTAATGTCTTGACCACAGCTGGAACAAGGTCTTCTAGTTACTCATCATGACAAAGAGTAGGTTTTTAAAACTGCTAAGGAAGCTCAGAAATGGGGTGTCCATATTTTCTGAAAGAGACTAGGATTGGTGTTTAAGCAGTTCCTGTCAGATGGCCAGAGGTGAGCGTTCAAATGTAAACTGTTGGAGCTACTTAACTACCAGTTGAGATTTCTGCAGCGTTCTTTTTCTCCTTGGTGGCTGTTCATTTCCTGGTGATGTCTGGGCTCACGTTTTTGTTTAAATTGGCTCTTAGTAAAATCTGAATCTGATTTATGCATGAACTACACAGACTGTTTTAGGAATGCTTTAATAGAATAGTAAATGGAAGGAAACCTCACAAGACACATGACAGGTGGGTGGCAAAGCAAAGAGAGCCCAGTAAGCCTCAGGAGATGTAGGTTTGGTCATGCTCTGGCCACTAATTGATTGTGTCAGCTTGGACAGGTCACTTTCCATTCAGAACAAACAGCAACAAATAATTCCTTGTCATGCTTCTCACTCATCTAAGAACTTAGGGATTTTGTTTTTTTCATTGTATTCTTAGTGCCAGTCTAGTTCCTGGCACATGGCAAAAGGGCAATCAGTGTTTACTCAATGTATATGAATGAATTAACTTTTCTATGTCTTTAGATTTTTCCCATCTGTAAATTGGGCACACCAGTACTTCCTTTGATAAGTGTAATTTAGTAGATGTGAGAGCACTTTGGAAAGTTCTGAATACAATATATTGTATTATGGGATGATCATTAGATCAACGAATTAACTAAGGAATAGACACCGAATCTTTCTTGAATACAACAGAATTGAAAAACCATTTTCCCTTCAAAGACTTTATCTTTAAATAGGAAATAACATAGGAATAGTTAGTTTTGTTGATTTTTCTCTCCAAGTTTAGATCACTGAAAAGATAACAAATGAAAACATTCACAAGAGATTGGAGTATTTCTGTGAGTTTGGTTTTGCTTATTATACCATTCTATGATGCTGGAAATAATGTTTGAAACAAAATCTTAATTAGCTGCATTTTTTTTTAGCATTTAACTTATTTTAATGTGTTTTATTGTATAATAGGGACATAACTTCCTGTTAAAATCTTTCTGCAGAAATATTTTAATGTTGATAACAAAAAGAATTTTTGTTTGCTTATTAAAAGGAATAGGTTCTTCTTGAAAGTTCAATTTGTTTCCTTAGAAGAGAATTAGGAAAATACACAAAGAAATACCCTTATTGGAGCTTCCTCAAGAAATAGGGATTTGATAAATAAGAACATCACAAAGTTAATGTAAAGATACTTTGTTTTTTTGTGTCTTTAGGTGGTGAAGTCTCACTATCTTGCCTAGGCTGGTCTTGAACTCCTGGGCTTAAGTGATCCTCCCACCTAAGCATCATGAGTAGCTAGGACGTTTTAGATTTTGCCTACCATTTTGATTTGTCATGTGGACAAATCCATTCCTAAAGATTAATGGAGATTCAGAAATATTATGGTTGTTGATTAGTAAAATAAATGAAGGTTTCCATATGATACCTATTTACCCATATTTATATGACAGTTTTATATGTAAAATAGGAGTGATAACTGATCACTGTTTTTGTTTCTTTAGATGGGTAGCCTATGAAAATCCTGACTTCACTGGAGAACAGTATGTTCTGGATAAAGGCTTTTACACCAGTTTTGAGGACTGGGGAGGCAAAAATTGTAAGATCTCTTCTGTCCAACCCATAAGTTTGGTAAGGACTTATATGTTTGTACAAGAATATTTAACTGGGGCTGGGGCTCACCGGTAGTGCACTTGCCTGGTATGTGTGAGGCACTGGGTTCGATTCTCAGCACCACATATAAATAAATAAAATAAAGATCTATCAACAAACTAAAAAATAAAAAAAAAAAATATTTGTATCAATTTGGGATTTTCATAATGTATACTTCTGGTTCACACATTATTGACTGCTACAGGAAATATTCTGAGGTTATTTTAACAGTAATTGCTAATGGTCTGAAAGAGAAAGTTTCTTCAGTATGTTTGCTCTATTAATTTCCTTTTCTCTTCCTTTTTAAAATTTTTAGGATTCTTTCACTGGCCCAAGGAGACGAAACCAGGTAATTTTTAAAAATATTCCAGTTTTGTTTTCTTTCTTTTCTATTCTTTTCTTTTTTAAAAAATAATTAAGGGACCTTTCACTGAAAAGCTGACTTATGTGTTAAGTGTCAGATATTTGGGACATTTTGTTAATTTCACCCATTTTTATGCTGGAAAACCTAATTGTATTTTTTATTTTCTTTTCATCCTCGTCTCTCTACTCCTTTCCTCCTTTTTTTTTTTTTGGCTAGGGATTAAACCTAGGGCTTTATGTACATCAATTGTACTATTTATTTATTTATTTTGCATTACAATTCTTAATACACCATTATACAATAATTCATCAGTTGTATTTTAAAAATAAGATGTTAACTTTAATGTTTAATTGGTAGCACTGACCCACGTCTAAATTTTTCTTATATTCTTATCATGTAAATTATCATGTAAAGCTGAAATCTATATCATCACATTGAATCAGTTTACATTAACATACTAAGATAAATATTTCAAACAATAGCATATAGTTATCATGATAAATGGTAGAATGAATTTTCATATTTGCTGTGTCTGCATTAGACTGACATTTTATATGGTCTCACTCAAGCCTTTTGATGATTGCAGACTCCCAAATCAACTGCAGTGTTGCATTTGTTATTTAAGCTTTTTAATGGAAATGTTCAGACAGCCATAATTACAGAGGTACAAACATCACTCTAGTTTCCTTTATTGGCATATGAATGATTCTAATAAGTCAGCAAGTATCTTCCATTGAGAGGGAGGAAAAATATACTATATATTTCCAAAATGCAGTTTATTGTTAATGTTAGAACAGATGAATAATTACTTTTGGCCACAATAAAGCTTTAAAATGCCTCATAGCTTGTTAACAATAGGGTGTTCTATAGAAAGTTGCCTCTGTTGTTGGATTGTCCTTTGATGCTGCTGAATTAAATAGTCATGAATGGTATAGCCAACATGTTTCTAATTGATCATTAATACAATAGTAGAAAATTAAAGGATTCGTAAAGTTCACACCAGTTTGCTGTAACAAGTTAGCAGGTCAGTTTTGGGTCATCAATTCAAAAGCTGAATGTGTTAACATGTTTTAGGGAAATAATTTTGTGTGTTCTGTTTACTTTTGCAAAGATTCACTTGTTTTCAGAACCACAGTTTCAAGGTCAAAGTCAAAGATTTGAAGAAACAACAGATCAAATTGATGATTCGTTTTCTACCAAGTCCTGCCGAGTTTTAGGAGGCAGGTAAGCAAAACAATGGAGTTGCAGAGTGGGATCACTGGGATAAAATACAATTCACAAATCAATTTTGCAATAGTCATCAGGTGCCTGGCACTCTATGAAACCACCATCTTAGTTCAGAAGTACACTTTGCAGCATCTGAGTGCTAGATGCCAGAGGATGTGGACATCAGTGTGGGTTAGAGAAGTTGAAGGTCACCTCAGTGTGCGAGGAATTCATGTCAAATTCCATACTCCACACACCTGCTCCCTCATCTATAAAAGGAGAGCTGGACCCTAGATAATCTCTAAGGTACCTCACAAAGTAGATTGTTTTATAGCAGACAGTAATACAATAGGCACATTCTGTACACAAGGCAGATGAAGAAAGTACATGGCTGGGGTGGGGTTGGTGTTCATGCTGATCCAGGAACACACCATCCCTCCTAGCTGGAGCCTCTTGTTGGAAAGAAGCAAGCCAGGTTGTACTGGGAGGGTGAGCTCACACTGCAAAGACTCCCCCTAGGCAACAAGAGTTTCTCTGAATGCCATAGGAAACCCAAGATGGGAGAGGCCTTGGGCTCAACCAGCCAAGCTGAAAAACAATGGTTTTACCAAAGCTTCCTTAGAAAGGGGAGGGTCTAAGGTCTGGGAAACTTGGTCAGGAAAATGTTGGAGCAGTCTGTATAAGAATTGATGAGGAATTAAGTCTAATGATAATAGTAATGGTTCCTTTGATCCTATAAGCCACACTTCCATATCACTTAGCATCTCACAGTGAAAGAGCACTCGCTTCATGTTCAAATACATACACTGATGGTGAGGCTTCAGAGCTGCTTAGCACATGGCTCCATCTCAACCTGGCTGTTCCTTATTCCCCCTTGCTTCATGTAGTACTGTCAGACATGCACTTGGTTTTGTTGCCTGTCTCAACTCTTTGTAAAGTATAAATTAAGGAGAATAGGGACTTGTTTTGTTTTCTCCTGTGTCTCTAGATCAGGAAAGTGCCTGACATGCAATTGTCCTCAGTGAGCATTTGTAGAATTTAAGGGGGCATTTAGAATCTAGGGAAGCATGATATATCACCATTTTATCAATAATCTTGAGGCCTTAAGAGGCCAAGTGATTTGTCTAAGTCACTATGATATTTTTGAGTCCTGGCCCAGGCCAGAGCTGTTGGAAATGAGGGTAAAGAGTAAAGGGAAGTGTAAGAGAAATTTGGGGAGGATATCAATATATCTTGGTGACTGACAGCTTTGATGGTTGAAGAAAAATTATAACAGAGGACTCCTAGGCCTGAAGCTACATGAGCTGGGGATAGGTGGCACCTATGAGAGGAGCAAGGAAGGCTGGGAGGTGGGGAAGTAAAACCAAGGGTCATTTCACAGAAAAGAAAGTTTTGTTTCCAAAATGCAAAGTTAATTTATATGAATTTTATATATATATATATATATATATATATATATATATATATATATATATATATCTTATATTCATAAGTTATATAATTTATATAACTTATGAATATGAATTTGTCATGAGATGAAATGAAGTAAATATATCCAGATATTTTTGAAGAAAGAAGAGTTAGCCATAAGCCTCATGTTTATGGTATGGCAGTCTTCCTCTAAAATTCAGACTTATTGAGTAGAAATGCTCAAATTGCATCCTGCGTGTGTGGTTTTTCCCTGTAGCTGGGTTGCATACGATGGAGAAAATTTCTCTGGCAATCAGTATGTGTTGGAAGAAGGCCACTATCCTTGTCTCTCTGCAATGGGATGCCTGCCTGGAGCAACTTTCAAGTCTCTTCGTTTCATAGATGTGGTAAGTATGTCAGTGTGAACACAGGATTTCAGAAATGTATGGTCCACATAGCTGATGATTAGAGCATGAAACCAGCATCTAGAACTTACTTAGGGATTAACGTTGGAGACAAGAAAACAGTTGCAGTGAGCTCTCCATCCTGTCACTTTTGATGTCTTTATATGTCTGTAATGTATAAATTGTTTGCTGTTTTCTCAGACTTCTGGGGCAGGGTGTTAGGTTAGTCACAGGCCACTGTCATTATGGGATAATTCAAGGACCCTCTCCTGTGTTGTTTTTCTCTACTTCCTACCATATTTCTATCCTTCTGCCTTTCACAGGCACCCATTCTAATGTGTTTTTGGAATATAGCTTGGATAGTCTTGTAAAATGTATGTTTTTGAAAGATCTGTATTTAGGCTTTTGATTTATATAAACCTTATGCTACAATTCTCGTGCTTATAAATGTAGCTACTTAACATCAAGAACTTTCAAGAGCCATCCGTTTTGCTATATGTACATGTAGATTGTTAGCTAACTGTACATGTATTCCACACCTTGTGTTACTTATTGGATCCTCATATGCTTATCCTGCTGGGACATGTGGGAGTCTCTTGGGGATGACTAGGGAGTGGAAGTGCTGGGTCTCACTTGGTGCTGCCAGATCCCACCACCTCTTCCCACTGGTGGGGCACTCCGATTCCTGCTTCCCACATTATCACAACTGTGTATTCTCTTTCTCATCTCAATTTGATGGAATGGGTAGAAAGTATTATGTCATTGTTGGGTTGATTTGTACATCACTGTTAGGTTGGTAGCTCATGTAATTTATTTGTCATATTCTGATTGGTAAATTGCCAATTTATAGCCTTTGTCCGCCTCCTTATTTGTTTTTCTGTATCTTTTAGGGTTGTTACTGATTTGCAGAAATTCCTGGTAGTTTTTTAGACCATTATGACTCTTGTAGGAGAAATTTTCAAATGACTTCTAAGTGTTAATCCAGGTTATAGTGCCCCCTTTTGGACAGAAATTTTTCATTTTGACGTAGTCCAAGTAATAGAACAACACAACTGCAAGATAATTTTCCGATATTTAAGTCTAAGTGTGTCTGCAATTTTGGAAATTTTTTTTTAGTTCTTGGTAACTGATCTCATAAAAGGCTTTAAACATATGTACATGATGATTTTAAAGATAGGAAGAACATGTGAGTTGGCTTTCTATTATCCATGCCTGCCAGTTTAAATGACAAAATGCTATTGAGACATGAAAATAGTATTGGTGAAACATGGAATGATGTGGTAAGATTCATTAGCTTACAAGTAATGGAATAAGACTTTCTGATAGTTACTTTTGCCTAAAATTCTAAAGGCTACCTTCAAGTATATATTTTGAGGTTTTCAAATGCTATTCCTTAATCAGAGCTAGGCATTTATATTCACAGCTCTCAGACACTTACCTGTAAGTGTCTACATCATCTGTGATGTCCTTTTAAATTTTGATTGTGAGGGAACAGACATTTTTGCCCATAGTAAAAATATACATTTTTGTGGATGTGCGGTGCTGGGGATCAAACCTGGGGCCTTGTTGCAGGCTAGACACTCTACTACTGAGCTGCATCCCCAGCCCTATATATTTTTAATTGTAATTTAATACTTTAGAATTGTTTAATTGATTCTTGATATTAATCTTGAGGGTTGGGAACATTTTGGGGATGTCATTTTAGAGAAAATTGCAGTAAACATGCAAAGTAGTTAGATGAGTACAATTTTTGTCTTGTTTCCTCCTTGTGTGTTTTATATAACCTAATTCCTAGAACATGCAAACCACCTCCACATATTAATCTGCTCTGTTGATGGGTGGACGAAATCTTTCCTACATGTCAGGGCATATCCACATAAACGAAGCAGTAAAGTGCCGCACCCTTGCCACAGAACTTTAAGCAGGTGGGGAAATAATTACAATCCCCACCTACTTTTTTGATGTATCATTTATGATCTTAGGAGTATTATCATTAGAGCTTAGTCTAGGGTCATAAGGGTTTGTAATTTGAAAACAAACATAAGCTGCCAACGTTTCATTTTTCTGAAATCAGTGAACTGGTGTGTTGTTGTTCTCTTTAAAATGATTAACAGTTTGAAACTGGGGCTTCCATCCTGTTTTCTTTCCCCCAGACAATGATGCCTACAGGAAGGTTTGGGAGCGTGAGTATATAGAATCCTAATCTTATTAACAGAAAAAACGAAAACATTTGAAAATAGCTGCAAAGGGACATCTCCTTAACTAGGAATACTACTGAAAAAGGCTAGGGTGAAAATAAATTCTGTCAAAAGTGTTGATATTCCACGTATGTCTGCATTTCTCTGGCTGGGATCTTTTCCTCTGCTACTTAACATGATTGGCGAGGACCTGCCTTTATGTGCAGTGGGGAAACTTGCAGCCCCTCTATCCTTTCCCTGCACTTCGTAGCATGTAGTCACCAGGCTTCCCAGGAAAGGGAGTTTATGAATCAGCCACATCTGGCAGTCTTGTGCTTTGTCCTTGTACTCAGATCATTTTCACATAAGCTTCCAATTATTAACAGATGAATAACAGAACACTATTTTTGTTTCCAAACAGGAATTTTCTGAACCAACAATTATTCTTTATGAAAGAGAAAATTTCAAAGGAAAAAAGATTGAACTTAATGCAGAGACAGTTAATCTCCAATCCCTGGGATTTAACACACAAATACGCTCTGTTCAGGTTCTTGGTGGCATGTAAGTGAGTTATCTACTTGTTAATCCAATAAAATCGATTTTTTCCCCTTTAAAGAGATAGGGTCTCTTGGGGCTGGGATTGTAGTTCAGTGGTTGAGCCCTTGCCTCACATGCATGAGGCACTGATCCAATCCTCAGCACACCATAAAACTAACTAACTAAATAAATAAATAGAACAAAGATATTGTGTCCATCTACAACTAAAAAAAAAGTTTTAAAAAAGAGAGAGAGACATGGTTTCACTGTGTTGCCCAGGCTGGTCCTGAACTTCTAGGCTCAAGTGATCCTCACATCTCAACATCCTGAGTAGCTGGGACTACAGGCATGTGCCACCACCCCAGGCAAAAAATATAGTATTTAAAATTAGGGTTTTTAAAAAAATTATTTATTTATTAGTTGTAGATGGACACAATACCTTTATTTTATTTATTTATTCATTTTTATGTGGTGCTGAGGATCGAACCCAGGGCCTCACATGTGCTAAACGAGCACTCTACTGCTGAGCCACAACCCCAGCCCTAAAATTAAGTTTTTAAAATATTTTAAATTGACTGATAATTGTATTATTTATGGGGTACAAAGTGGTGTTTTGACACATGTATACATTGTGGGATGATTAAATAATATTAATTAGCTTATCTATCACCTCAAATATTTATCATTTCTCTGTGCTGAGAAAATCAATTTAAAATCCTTTTTTTAGCTATTTTGAAACATACATTATTCTTCATTGTAGTTACCTTGTTATGCAGAACAACACTTATTCCTCCTGTCTGTTCCTAACTGTAACTTTGTATCCATTGACCAACATCTCACCCTGGGGCCTTCCACCCACTGCCTGTGGTAACTACCTTTCTACTGTCTACTTCTAAGAGTTCAACTGTGTTAGATTTCACAAAGAAGTGAGATCATGTGATATTTGTTTCTCTGTGCCTGCCTTACAAAAATTAAGGTTGGTCAGATTTCCCTCCTTACCTTAAATGAATGGACATATAGCTCTTCCTTTCTTGGTGGGAAAAGCCATATGTAAACCATCTTTCCTCTCCTTATTTGAATTTTTAGCTTCAGATAAGGACTTTGTCTTTAACACCTCTTGAAGTCCCCAGGGGAATGCTTTGCATACAGTGCTCAGCAAATTTATGGGGCACCTTTTTTAGCAAAGAAGAAAAAGCTGATTTTTCTTATTCCTTTGAAAGACCAAGTCCTTTGATTTGGAAGCTAAAGGTTAAGCTTTTTCTTTGACTAGAAGTGACTGACAGATGGGAAGATTTTTTTTTTTTTTCAACTTTGACTGATTTTGAAATTGAGTAGGACATACAAATGAATAAGTAACTCCTCGGCACTGCTGCACATACCTATAATTTCAGCAAATTGGAAGGCTGAAGTAGGAGGATCATGAGTTCAAAGCCAGCCTTAGCAACTTAGCAAGCCCTAAACAAGTCAGTGAGACCCTGTTTCAAAATAAAAAAAATAAAAAGGGATAGTGATATGGCTCAGTAGTTAAGCACCCCTGGGTTCCATCCCTGGTACCAGAAAAAAAAAAAAAAAAAGAAGTAGTAGTATCATTAATGTAGTAAATTT